TAGAGTTTGGTCCAGATCATCATTGTTTGAGTCCACAGTGCTCTCTGGATGTAGGTGAACTACAACTCCAAAACACAAAGTCACCCACAAACCCTTCCAGTATTTTCTGTTGGTCATGGGAGTTCTGTGTGCCAAGTTTGGTTCAATTCCATCGTTGGTGGGTTCAGAATGCTCTTTGATTGTAGGTGAACTATAAATCCCAGCAACTACAACTCCCAAATGACAAAATCATTTTTTTTGAGTGAAGGGCATACATTGGGTTGTTAGGTGTCTTGTGTCCAAATTTGGTGTCAATTCGTCCAGTGGTTTTTGAGTTCTGTTAATCCCACAAACGAACATTACGTTTTTATTTATATAGAAGTGGCACTTGTGTCAGAATGAAGGAAGAAGACTCCACTATTTGTTCCAGTCTTAGAAATAATATAGGTTTCTGACATCTGGAATGACATTTCCTCTAAGTCTACTGTGCCATTGACCAATTATGGGATGCCTATTTTACTTTACAGAATAATGGACAAATATCCATTTTCTTGGGGGTACAAAAGCTGATGGAGTTCAGAATTAAATGCAAGCAGTGACTAGTGTATTACTATATTGAGCAAAGAAGAAATATGGATGAACATAGTTGATTTGTGTATCCATTCAAACAGGATTTCAAGTAATGCAGAATAGTCAGACATTCAATTTCATAGTTTATGAAAGCCTTTGCATTGATGTAGCAGGATCTAGCTGTGTATCAGAAATGAGCAAAACACTTCGTTCTCAGAATAAATTGTTTGGCATGATTGCCTGATAATGATTTGTCAGCCCTTTTCTATTTAAACCATTTTGCAATTCAGGACTGAAAGGAGGAAACGCATGCAGCAAATCTTGCTTGTTTGGGTGCTATTAACAACAACAGCATAACAGTACAAAATTTTGTTTAATTTACTTTTATTGCTTGGTCTAATTTACTGTGGAAGCAAATTGCCTGAAATGCATTCATGTGCACAAGAAAGCTGTAAATTTCCACAAGGAAACAAAATGTAATGTTAAAAAACAGGATTATAATGGTGACCTTGTCTTCTTTATTTTTTAAATGGATTTTACTGCATAATCATTGGTAATAGTATACATGAGGTTTTGTTTAAAAGAAATACAAAGCCTTAATTGTGCTTTTGAGAGGAACGTATTGCATCAGAAGGATTCATTTAAATACATTTGGCTCTGGGCTGTCTTCACAATTCATTCATTCTGCATTTCCCCTGGACTTATTAAGAATGCAAAATATAGAAAGGGTCGAGTCAAGTAGCTCTTTTTAGATCACTACATTCTGGCTTCAAAGCACACTTCTGGTCATAAACCTCTATTGCTAAACAAAATATTTCATTTTCATTATAGGTTACAACTGCAGATACTTTTTTTAAAAAAAAACCTGTTGGCTAAATGCCAAGATTGTTGTGATTAACAAAAGAGGCTAGTTCTGCTGTAATTTACTAGTAGCTGGCTACATTTATGGGTGTTTCTCGCAGGGCAAATGTATGACCATTGCAAAGAAATCAAGTTCAGGGTTATTCAGCTATAGCCGTAGAATTCACAAAAAGGATACATAAGTATAGTATACATAAAAAGTCTTAATGTTAAATGCTGAATAATTTTTAAGCGGTAAATGGTATCTAAATTCTGCTCCCAAGACAAAAATAAATATGAAGGTAATATCTTTGGATGGACTGTAAAACCTAAAGCCGCTTAATCTGTGAAGGTGTGCTTTGTGAAACACAAAAACTTGGAGAACATGTCACAGTATCTCCTGAAGTTAAACAGTTCAACAGTGACAAATCCAAATGTAAATGAAGTTCAACGGGGACAAATGCAAGATACTCCACTTTGGCAGGAAAAACGAAATGCAAAGATACAGAATGGGGGACAATGCCTGGCTCGAGAGCAGTACGTGTGAAAAAGATCTTGGAGTCCTCGTGGACAACAAGTTAAACATGAGGCAACAATGTGATGCGGCGGCAAAAAAAGCCAATGGGATTTTGGCCTGCATCAATAGGAGCATAGTGTCTAGATCTAGGGAAGTAATGCTACCCCTCTATTCTGCTTTGGTTAGACCACACCTGGAATATTGTGTCCAATTCTGGGCACCACAATTCAAGAGAGATATTGACAAACTGAAATGTGTCCAGAGGAGGGCGACTAAAATGATCAAGGGTCTGGAGAACAAGCCCTATGAGGAGCGGCTTAAGGAGCTGGGCATGTTTAGCCTGAAGAAGAGAAGGCTGAGAGGAGATATGATAGCCATGTATAAATATGTGAGAGAAAGCTACAGGGAGGAGGGAGCAAGCTTGTTTTCTGCTTCCCTGGAGCCTAGGACGCGGAACAATGGCTTCAAACTACAAGAGAGGAGATTCCATCTGAACATAAGGAAGAACTTCCTGACTGTGAGGGCAGTTCAGCAGTGGAACTCTCTTCCCCGGAGTGGGGTGGAGGCTCCTTCTTTGGAAGCTTTTAAACAGAGGCTGGATGGCCATCTGTCAGGGGTGATTTGAATGCAATATTCCTGCTTCTTGGCAGGGGTTTGGACTGGATGGCCCATGAAGTCTATTCCAACTCTTTGATTCTATGATTCTAGTTGAAAGAAATACAGCAGTGCTTCTCCCTTTTGCACAGATTTGAAGGAGCCCTGTGAAAGTGAAGAAAAGGTGTTTAAAAACCCACTATTTTCTTACCTGAAAAAATAGATGATTCTACATAGGACCACCAAACGCAGCATTGCCCAAACACAAATCAAGGAACATGAAAGACACTGCAGACTAATTCAACCAGAGAAGTCAGCCATAGCAGAGCACCTGATGAACCAACCTGGACACAGCATATTATTTGAGAACACAGAAATGCTGGACCACTCTAACAACAACCATGTCAGACTACACAGAGAAGCCATTGAAATCCACAAGCATGTGGACAATTTCAACAGAAAGGAAGAAACCATGAAAATGAACAAAATCTGGCTACCAGTATTAAAAAACTCAAAAATTACAACAGCAAAACAACAGAGAGTAAACAATCAGGCACATCAAATCACTCTCAACAAAAGATTCCCCCCAGGCACTTCCAAGCCATTAAATGCTAATCAAGGTGGTCAGTTGAAACATTCACACCTAGCTCCAGCAGACAAAAGTCCTTTGTCCCACCCTGGTCATTTCACAGATATATAAACCCATTTTCCTACTTCCAACAGACCTCACTACCTCTGAGGATGCTTGCCATAGATGCAGGCGAAACGTCAGGAGAAAATGCCTCTAGAACATGGCCATATAGCCCGAAAAACCTACAACAACCCAGTGATTCCAGCCATGAAAGCCTTCGACAATACACACTAGATGACTTAGATTTTCTTAGAAAAGTCTTCTATCCAGGTCCTCCAGGCAACTCTACTGTCAATTTCTGGCAGACGTTAGCCATAGAAACATCCTGGAAGACTTCGAGATCTCTAGAGGGAATATATGAATCGAATCTGCAAATAGCGCCACAAAAATTAAAACTGCATATTCAGAGAGCTAGCTGTAATACTTTGTAATGGAGATGTATCACATCTTTTGACTCACTTTAAGGTCTCCATCTAATCAACAACATTGTATGTTTCTTGGAGCATGACTACAACTGAGCCCTCTTTCCAGAGAGCTGCATGCTAAGGATTTTCATATACTATGACTACTTTTTTCTTTTTACAGCTGATCACAAACACACGCACATGCATCCCATCACAGCTAGAGATGGAAAGGCCTGGGGGAAAAACCCAGAAAATGGAGGGAAAAGTAGCTTTTCTTTGTTTATCCCCCCATTTTTTTTATTTTCCCCCTTTTTTTGTCCCCCCCCCCCCATTTTTTCCCCATTTTTTTTCCAGGCCTTCCCATCTCTAGCCACAACACAAAGATCTGTTTGAAGTGTCCAATTAAATGTTATGTTCTTCCACCTTGCTCACCCCATAGGCAGCTATGGTCACTCCATAGGAAGCTATTTCTTTTCTGAGAGAGGAACTTTTTGGTCTAGAACAGTGGTTCCCAACTGTTCTAGTATACTGGCTGGGGTTTCTGGGAGTTGTAGGCCAAAACATATGGGGACCCACAGATTGAGAACCACTGGTCTAGAAAAACATTGGGGCAGCAACAGTTTGCTTCTTATCTGAGAGGGCTCAATGGCCTAGCAATGCAAAGCAATTTGTTCTGGAGGAACCAGACGAATTCCTATCAAGTAGCAAAACTTGAGCCTAGAGAAGACAATTATGCTGGGGAAAGTGGAAGGCAAAAGGAAGAGGGGCCGACCAAGGGCAAGATGGATGGATGGCATCCTTGAAGTGACTGGACTGACCTTGAAGGAGCTGGGGGTGGTGACGGCCGACAGGGAGCTCTGGCGTGGGCTGGTCCATGAGGTCACGAAGAGTCGGAGACGACTGAACGAATGAACAACAAAGCAAAACTTGAATTTAGCTTTTCAGTTGCTGACTGGCTAAATGTATCTGATCATTAGCTTCAGTTTGTGGACTTGCAAATAAATACCAAATTTTTATGAATTAATATAAATAATAGATGTATGTGCATGTGTTGGTGGGAGTTATTTTCCTTTTATATTATGCCGGCGATATTTATCACTTGAAGTCCTCCAGAAACCTTGTATTCCACTATACTTTTTTAAAGGTATATTACTGCATTGCTTTGGGATATAGCAGAATTCAACGTCTCCTCAGATCAAATATTTCTTCAGCTTTAAAGAGGGTCCTTAAAAACAACATATTTCTAAAAACTTAACTGCATCTTTGGAAAATATGTTAGGAAACCATTCAGTTTGGAGCACTTGAAGAGTAACAACGAGTATTGTTTGCTAACAGCCTGAGGCATTTTATTTCTTTCTTTAAGAAAGCCATCAGGAAATTGTGAACATTAATTACATCTTGTGTCCTTCCATCCTCCTCCTCCTCCTCTTCCTCTTCCACTTCCTCCTCTTCTTCTTTTGAACAGAACATAGTAGAACTAGTGAAGCCTGCAGAAAGCCCTTTCCCTGCTCCCTTGGAAGAAGGTCTGCCTTATGAGATTTATTCTAAATTTATCACACCAGGCCCAGAGATAGAAGAGGAAATCAAGGTAAGGGGGATTTTCCTTGTTAAAATAATTTGTGCAAGAAAATGGCATGTCCACCCCTCCACTCTCATTCCTCACCCAGTAAAAGGATTGTGCAGATAATCCTCTTCTAAAATATGCTACTTAAATGCTCCATAAGTTAACTTCTTAAATGAATATTTGCTGAGACTGCAGTATCAAATGATGGCAAGGCATTCACCAGCCCTACTCACCTGCTTTGTTCTTCCTTTTATTGCTCACACAGAAATTTCAAGCATTGTACTTTCATCCCAGTTTTGTATGTTGTATGCAGAGGAACACTTTTAATGGGAGATGTTCTTGTTCTCTATTAGGAAATGGATGAAGACCACCCAGAAGAGGAACCCGAGCCTGAAAGTGTGATAGATCCTTTGGAGGGTTATACCATAGAGGATGTCCAGTCAGTGCTTGGTGTAATTACCAATGAAATGATCAGCGGTGTTCAGGTATTGTTACTAAAATATATATTGATTGACTATAAGGGTAACTTAATCTGCAGCCTGATGAGATAGTGAACAATTACATAAGGCTACTGGCCTTGTAAATTATGATGTGCCAAAAGATAATTTGTTAGTACAGGGTGAGGCAGCATAACTTTCTTTTTTCAAAACTTAATAAAACCCATTGTATGAATCAGGAAAAAAGTTATAATGTAGGCACATACCTAAAGTTTTGTTTTATGTCGTTTTGAAGATCAAATTAGGTAGGTGACGTCCCCCATTCTCCATACACTGAGTAAACCGATTTCTGGCGTTTGTCATGTCTCTTGCCAGCATAGCAGGCATTACGTTGGAAATTTCTTCCTGGATGTTGGTCTTCAAATCTTGTAGGGTCCTTGGACAGTTCACATAAACACGGGATTTCAAAAAACACCATAGAAAAAAATCACAAGGGACCAAATCTGGAGAGTGGGCCGGCCACGCCAAATCCACTTGCAAAGTAGGCCTCAATGGCAAAAGCATTGTTCCAACGCACGATGGCGACTGAACTGTGTCAGGACAAAACTTTATACTCCCACCTCTCGAACGAGACCACTAACGCTCCACTATGTCTTCAACCGACTAAATGGCGCACATTTTTTAAAAAGGAAGTTATTCTGCCTCACCCTGTACTGGCTAGGTAAAGGTAAAGGTAGTCCCCTGACATTAAGTCCAGTCATGTCTGACTCTGGGGTGTGGTGCTCATCTCCATTTCTAAGCCAAAGAGCCAGCGTTGTCCGTAGACACCTCCAAGGTCATGTGGCTGGCATGACTGCATGGAGCGCTGTTACCTTCCCGCCGGAGCGGTACCTGTTGATCTACTCACATTTGCATGTTTTCGAACTGCTAGGGTGGCAGAAGCTAGGGCTGACAGCGGAAGCTCACGCCGCTCCCCGGAATCGAACCTGCGACCTTTCGATCAACAAGCTCAGCAGCTCAGTGCTTTAACCCACTGCGCCACCGGGGCCCCTCCCTGTACTGGCTACTGACCTTGAAAATTATGATGTGCCAGAAGATATTTTTTTATATGCTTTTACAAATATTTGCTGTCTTAGCCATGGTGTGATTCTGTTTGTGTAATTCTTAAAGTATCCCTTCCAGTTTCAGTCGTGTTGGCACAAGGATTTAACCCATTGTGCCATTGAGAGCTTCTTCTTCACATCCTAGATCTCTCTCTTCCCCCCTCCCCCCGTTTTGACACACTTCTAAAACAATTCATAGACGAAGCAACACAGATCCCATCATACAATGCAAGGGAACTTCTGCCTTTTGCCTGTGCTGCTTTGTTTGTGAACTGCCTCTGAAGTGCAGGGAAATGGTTGGAACTGAATCTGGTAAGAAAGCATTTTCTGACTCCCAATGCATGTGGAAATGAGAAAAACTGAGGGGAAACACATGGGATGGGATGTGCCAAATTTGCCAGTGTTGAATCGTAGTGCCTAATTGGTTTCAGATCTTTTGAAACCCTGTTAGGAAGATTGACTGAGGAAGTCAAAGAAGAAGGAGCTGCGAGTTAGGAGTGGTGAAGGGTTAGTGAGAGAGGCCTGAAATTGGTCAGTGGGCTAGCAGAGATAGCTAGTGGGAGGATTTCTACAGCTATTAGAGAAATAGCTGGTGGAGGAGGAGTAGAGATAGATCCAGAGTGGGATATCTGTGGAGGTGTTTTAGAATTACTTTCAGAGAATAAATCCTGTCAGTAAATTCTGTGGAGGAAGAAAGAAGTATTCCTGTGTAGCTAAGTCTGAACTGCTTAAAGTAACCACATGCTTTTTGAGTCAATATTTTGAAACAGCTAAGCTTTATACCTGAATTGTTCCAGTTCTCTTAAATAAACATCATTGTTTTGTTGTTCACAACATCTGCCTCACGTGTGCCTCTGTGGGTGAAGTTTTAAAAGCAGTTTCCTGAAGCAAACAGGAACTAATGTTGGCAGCGTAGATTTTAAAGAACAATCTTTTAGTGTTACTTCAGAAACACAAGCCTGAGTGCTAATTCCAACACACTCTTGCCTAAGATAATTCCAGTAAGCCAAGGGCTTATCAGTGTTTTTAAATTGGTGGTGGCCAAAGGGTTTTCAAAAAAAATTTCAGCCAGAAGAAAGTTCCAGCTTTCCTTACAGATTTTTGTTTCGACTTTTAATCACAGAAGCCACGTTCTAATCACAAGTGGTGTTCTGCCATTTTGGGGATTTTATTTCCCAAATAAAGCCTCAACCTTTATATCCCTCCTCTCTATGAACTTGTAGGCCCCTTCCACAAGGCTTTATAAAATCTACATTGGACTGAATTATATGGCAGTGTAAAAGGGCCCATAGTTAGCAGGGCAAACAAGGAAACCTTTACGTAAAGCTACAGACACTCTGAGAAACCTCAGTTAATTGTATGGCTATCTGGACCTGGTATGCTGATGTTGTAGTAAAATACCAGAGGACCTACAAGAGAAAATATGGGACTATGAGGATTTGATAGTGCTAAAGAATGAGTGAATGATGGACAGCCACTTCAGAGGAGTGCCTTCACATTCTTTATTTCTTTCAGTATTTTATTGGCCACTCTGAGTCCCCTTGTGGAGAGAAGGGCGGGATAGAAATGTATGAAATAATAATTGTTTAGCAGATGTGGAATGGAAGAGAGAAAATACATTAGGACTGCACAGAGTCTGATCCAAAAGGCTTAACACCTCCAATCAGCCAGGCCCGTAGCCAGGATTTCGTTTCGGGGGGGGGGGGGTGAGTTTTTTTTGGGGGGGGGGGGGGGCTGAGTCTGAGTGAAAGAGGGTCTAGCCTAGCAAACCTTTTGTATCATTACCCCAATACCCCCATGCGTATGGGATATATTGAGTATGGTGATCAGATCATGATATGAATAAACATAACAGTTTAAATAATGCACCAGTAAGGCCTTTTCGCGAACCACCATGAGAATTTCGGGGGGGGGGGCTGAGCCCCTCTAGCCCCCCCCCCCCCCCCCGCCCCCCCCCCCCGCCCCGGCTACATGCCTGCAATCAGCCATGAATTATGTCTTATGTCTTTCCATGTTCTTAACAACTCCCACATCCCTTTTTGTGCTCCTAGTTGGGCAGAAAAACAGGAAGCCAAATGTGGTAAGGCATTGCATGGTACATCACAAATGGCTAGACAAGGAGATGTTGTGTATTATGTAGAAAGAATAAATATCATACACATTATTATAATCTTATAACCTCTCTACTTCATGCATCCCATTTTCTCTTTAATGGCCTGTAATGACCTGGCCTGTAACAGCAATGTCAGCATAGTCAAAAAATCGCCAAGGCTGCTTGATATTTCCAAGAACTGTGGCCAGATATGCTGTTTTTTTGCTATTAGCAAGTGAATGTAATATCTGGTTACTTAGAGATTGGAGCTTCATAAAGAAAGAGCTCGAAAGAGGTTTCCTAGTTGAATTTGATTAACTTTCTAAGAAATTCATATGATATGAAATTAATCATTGATGTTTACTCCATAAATACACCATGTCATATAAGAACATTGGTTTTATTGCAATTTCATGCACATTATGGTGCAGCTGAAAGCCAGCCAAGCTTACCTCTCATGTTTGTCATCATCTGTAATAAATCTACAGGAGAAACACAGTTCTCTCCGGGGGATTTGCAACCAATATTCTTCTCTCGCTCGGCTCAGTGACAATTAATAAAACTAAAATATAATTGCCAGAAGGTACAAAGGCAGCGCAATAACTTTTCACTGGAATTTAGAAAATTATTGTGATATAAGATAATGTAAGGTAATGTAATTGGACTTCAACAATAAACAAAGAGGACCACAGTACATCTTCTAAGACAGAGTTAGAGGCGTATAGAAGCTTGCGATGTGTATAATAATGGTCCATAATCCTATCTTTAACATGGGCTGCACATCTTGATTCTTCTGCCTGCCCTCCTGTCTTACGTGTTCAAAGATTGACAGGAATACATATTTTAAAAAACTAAGCAGGACTTTTAATTTACTTATATAGGCCAATGGCAAAAAGAAAATTATGGTACTTTGATTTGTATATAATATTTCCAAATGATTTAACCCTTTTAAAGTATTGTGTCTCCCACATATAATCTCTCCATCTGCTACCCAAAATGTATAGAACAGCAGTTTAGATAATTTTACCATTTTACATATCATTACTTATGGTACTTGGGTATCTGATTATATAAACACTAGCCATCCCCTGCCACGCGTTGCTGTGGCCCAGTCTGGTGATCTGGAAAAAAAAGTAATGTGAAAGTGTTGGTTTCTAATGTATGTAATGTCTTTATGCTTGTGGGTAAACAGTATTTCTTGCTGTTTTTGTCAGTGTTGATGTAGAGATTGTCTGGTTTGCCTACTCTGGATCAGACAACATATCATTGTCCTTCTTTAGGTGTCCATTTCAAATCTATGATACTATATCTCTCTCTCTCTGTGTCATATATATTAATCTATATCTATGGCTGGATGGCTCTTTGTCAGGAGGGCTTTGATTACATTTTCTTGCTCTGGTGAAGGGAGTTGGACTGGATGGCCTTAAATATTTTCTGTTGGTCATGTGGGTTCTGTGGGAAGTTTGCCCCAATTCTGTCATTGGTGGGTTCAGAATGCTCTTTGATTGTAGGTGAACTATAAATCCCAGCAACTACAACTCCCAAATGTCAAGGTCTATTTCCCCCAAACTCCATTTGTGTGCATATTTGGGCATTTGGAATATTCGTGCCAAGTTTGGTCCAGATCTAGCATTGTTTGAGTCCAAAGTGCTGTCTGGATGTTGGTGAACTACAACTCCCAAACTCAAGTTAAATGCCCACCAAACCCTTCTAGTATTTTTTGTTGGTCATGGGAGTCCTGTGTGCCAGGTTTAGTTCAATTCCATCATTGCTGGAGTTCAGAATGCTCTTTGATTGTGGGTGTACTCTAAATCCCAGCAACTACAACTCCCAAATTACAAAATCAATGTTTTGAGTGAAAGACATACATTGGGTTGTTAGGTGTATTGTGTCCAAATTTGGTGTCAATTCCCCCTGTGGTTTTTGAGTTCTGTTAATCCCACAAATGAACATTACATTTTTATTTATATAGACTAGCTGTACCCACCATGCATTGCTGTGGCCAACCTTCCCTCTCTCTTTCTCGCCTTCTTTCTTCCTTCTCTACCTGTTTCTTTTCTCGCTTCCTTTGCTCTTTGGTTACATCCTTACTTGTCTCTTTCCTTCCTTCTCTCCCTCTTTCTCTCTTTCATTCCTTCTCTCCTTCCTTCTTTCACTTTTTTATTTCATTCTCTCCCTCCTTCTCTCCTTCCTTCTCTACCTTCTTTCTTTCCTTCTTTTCTCCTTTCTCTTCCTTCTTTCCCTCCTTCCTTCCTTCTCTCCTTCCCTCCTTCTTATCTCCCTCCTTCTCTACCTTTCTTTCTTTCCTTTCTCTCCTTCCCTCCTTCTTTACCTTCTTCTCGCCCTCCTTCCTTCTTTCTCTACCCTTCTTTCTTTCCTTCTTTATCTCCTTCTCCTTCTTTCCCTTCTTCTCTCCTTCCTTCCTTCTCTATCCTTCTTTTCTCCTTCCTTCTCTTCCTTTCCCTCCTTCTTCTCTCTCCTCTTCTCTCCTTCTTTCTCTCTATCCCTCCTTCTTTCCCTTCTTCTCTCCCTCCTTCCTTCCTTCTCTACCCTTCTTTCTTTCCTTCCTTCTCTCCCTCCTTCTCTCCTTCCTCCCTTCCTTCCTCCTCCCTCCTTTCTGTGTATGTGTTTTTTGTGTGTATGCATATATGGGTGTATATGTGTGTGTTTGTGTATATATGGGTTTTGCACATGCGTTGTGATGTATTTTTTGTTTTTTGGCTTTTAAAGTCCCTTATGCTGTGTTTTTCATTGTTTTTATGAGTGATGGTCGCTCGTTGGCCTGAGAGGTGTCTTGGGTCCAAATTTGGTGTCAATTCGTCCAGTGGTTTTTGAGTTCTGTTAATCCCACAAACATTACATTTTTATTTATATAGATTGTTGTCAAACCAAGTTCCTAATGGGATGCCAATGACTTCTTAAGGAAATGATGGTCCATTGATGACAATCGTTTCTGTGGATTTTAAGATCCTCTGTCCTTTTCCATCAAATCTCCCATAAAAGTATACAAACCACTGAGAATATCATCCCTGATGCAGTTCCTTACACTTGCCTACTAAATCCTGCTATTTCCTCATTACCAATAATTCCTTCACCTGTTTGGCCCATTGTTTCTTCAGATCAGTTGGGCGGTATAATGCAGTGGTTCTCAACCTGGGGTCCCCAGATGTTTGGGCCTACAACTCCCAGAAATCCAAGCCAGTTTACCAGCTGTTAGGATTTCTGGGAGTTGTAGGCCAAAAAATCTGGGGACCCCAGGTTGAGAACCACTGGTCTAATGGCTGACTAAAACCATGCTTTCTCAGCTCCATTCGTCAAAGCCCCTCTTCAGCCTTAGATGAGCCCCCAGTGGCGCAGTGGGTTAAACCCCTTTGCCGGCAGGACTGAAGACCGACAGGTCGCAAGTTCAAATCTGGGGAGAGGCGGATGAGCTCCCTCTACCAGCTCCAGCTCCTCATACGGGGACATGAGAGAAGCCTCCCACTAGGATGATAAAAACATCAAATCATCCGGGCGTCCCCTGGGCAACGTCCTTGCAGACGGCCAATTTTCTCACGTCAGAAGTGACTTGCAGTTTCTCAAGTCACTCCTGACACGACAAAAAAAAAAAGCCTGAGATACCCTCATTGATTGTAACTTCAATAAACTGGCCTAGTGGATAAATGTCACTGCAGCAATCTCTGCTTTTTTCTGAAATTGCAGAGAAAACGTCAAGTCATTGAAAATTCTGCATTATTTGTTGCATTATTTTCCTTTCAGGGCTGTTTGTATCCACTGAGTTATTTTTCCCCATGAATGCAAATGTGCAGATACCTAAATCCCAAGTCCACTGATGTAGTGATCTAGCATTGCTTTGGGCGGCAAAGTTGCAGGAACACATTATCCTTGCTGGAGGCTATCCATATTCAGATGTTCTGAAATATGGTGTTTATTAGCAATTATGATTTTTCTAAAAGAGACAAGCAACCTCTTTGAAAAATGGCTCTATTTTTTGCTCTCGCTGTTGCCAATTTCACTGCATTTTCAATAACATCTTTTTAACTGCCATAGATAATTTTCTAGCAGTTACACATCTGCAGCAAAGCGTTTTGGTATTTATAGGTTAAATTAATCTGAAAATGCAAGGTTATTTGGGGGAAGTTGATTACTACCATACCATTTGCTGCTTATCAAAAACACAGAATACACTGAACTGCATATAGTAGTATGATGAAAATTTTATTATGTAAGTATAGATGTGGCATCATAACGTCTGCAGAACAGACAGCCATTGGAAGATACATGTCAATTTTTGCTGTGTTAAAACCATTAAGAGAGCAGCTGATTATCATCTCCTTCGTGTTTTCAAGGAAGAGGCTGACAAAAAACAAGGAGGTACCATTATTTACCTGAGTTCTTCAGTGTTTAAATAGAAGTCTTATATCTTGCTAGAGCAGTGGTTCTCAACCTTCCTAATGCCACGACCCCTTAATACGCTTCCTCACGTTATGGTGACCCCCAACCATAAAATTAGTTTCGTTGCTACTTCATAATTGTAAATTTGCAACTGTTTTGAATCCTAATGTAAATATCCGATATGCAGGATATATTTTCATTCACTGGACCAAATTTGGCACAAATACCTGATACACCCAAATTTGAATACTGGTGGGGTTGGCGGGGTAATTGATTTTGTCATTTGGGAGTTGTAGTTGCTGGGATTTATAGTTCACCTACAATCAAAGAGCATTCTGAACTCCACCAATGATGGAATTGAACCAGCTTGGCACACAGAACTCCCATGACCAACAGAAAATACTGGAAGGGTTTGGTGGGCATTGATCTTGACTTTGGGAGTTGTAGTTCACCTATGTCCAGAGAGCATTGTGGACTCAAACAATGATGGATCTGGACCAAACTTGGCACAAATTCTCAGTATACCCAAATGTAAACACTGGTGGAGTTTGGGGAAAATAGACCTTGACATTTGGGAGTTGTAGTTGCTGGGATTTATAGTTGACCTGCAATCAAAGAGCATTCTGAACCCTACCAATGATTAAATAGGGCCAAACTTCCCACGCAGAATCTCCATGACCAACAGAAAATACTGTGTTTTCTGGTGGTCTTTGGTGACCCCTCTGACACCCCCTTGCGACCCCTCCAGGCATCCCGACCCCCAGGTTGAGAAACACTGTGCTAGAGCCTCAGAGAGAGGGGCAACCTCTCAGCAGAATTGAAGTAATGTGTGAACAAGCCACGGTCAATTAACACCTATGTGGTCTATATCATGTTGATAAATGTATCGCATTAGATGGATGAATGATGTACTAGATTTCAACTTATTTACATCTTATGAGACCAACTAGCTGTGCTTAAGTAAGCACAGATTGCTTTTGTTGCTGCTAAAACTATACATATGCATCTATTTCCGTCCAAACATTGTAAGGAACTGGATATGGCTTGAGGGGTAGGGAATGCTTTGTGGATTTATGAATGCTACTGCGGGTATTCAACTTGGTTTTAAGCCAGTTTTTTTTTTCTTTTTTTACATGAAAGACAAAATCACAAACATATTACAAAATCATGAGTCTGTATTATATAAAGGTAGATATGTATCTTGTCATTGTGAGTGTTTATTCGGTGTGTTTTATGGTTTGTTATGTCATACTGGGTTTCAACAAATCATCTCTTTCTTTTCTTAAACAATCTGTTTTTACAGTCTGAGATAAATGAAAAGCTACAAACGCAAGAAGAGGCCTATTCTGCAAGAATAGACAAGCTAAAGAAAATCTAAAAAATGAAAACCTTCTGCAAACAGATTGATGACAGTGCCTTGCACAGATTATCTAAATGCATTTTATTTCTGAAGGTCAGCATAATGAAGTCAGTGTTTCTCAATCCAGCAAGTATTGTTCTAATACAATATCTTTATGTAATATGTATATATTGAGTAATAAATGAAAAACAGAAACTGAAATAAAACCCTAAACTTTCATTTTTAAAGCACTGCCATGGTTTGACTTGATTTTTACATTTAAATAGCATGTGATTTATGAATATTTTCCTTATCTTTATGAATAATAATATTTATTTATTTATTTTGTCGTGTCAGGAGTGACTCCTGGTGTGAGAGAATTGGTCGTCTGCGAGGACGTTGCCCAGGGGACACCTGGATGATTTGATGTTTTTATCATCCTCGTGGGAGGCTTCTCTCATGTCCCCGCATGAGGAGCTGGAGCTGGTAGAGGGAGCTCATCCACCTCTCCCTGGATTTGAACCTGCGACCTGGATTTGAACCAGGACCTTCAGTCCTGCCGGCACAGGGGTTTAACCCACTGTGCCACCGGGGGCTCTAATAATAATAATAATAATAATAATAATAATAATAATCTTTATTTATACCCCACCACCATCTCCCCAATGGGGCTTACATGAGGCCAAGCCCAAACAACAAATTACAGCAAAATAATGTAAACATCATCATTACATAAAACATATGAATGCATAACAATATAAAATTACAATAAACACAATCACAGTGACAATGTGCAGGCTACATGTAATGATTAAAAGAAAAACTAATTAAAAACTGATTAAAAACTTGGGTGAGATAAAGGAGAAGCAGGTTATTTGCGGAGGGGGAAACATATATTACAAACTAGTGCTCCTTACAGAGAGAGGTCAGCCCTTCTGTTTATTGGCTGCCATTTACCTTCCGATCCCAATTCAAGTTGCAGGTGCTTACCTACAAAGGAGATTCCACTTGAACATTAGGACAGAACTTTCTAACTGTGAGAGCTGTTCAGCAGTGGAACTCTCTGCCCCAGAGTGTGGTGGAGGTTCCTTCTTTGGTGGCTTCTAAACAGAGGCCGGATGGTCATCTGCTGGGGGTGCCTTGATTACAATTTTCCTGCTTCTTGGCAGGGGGTTGGACTGGATGGCCCATGAGATCTCTTCCAACTCTATGATTCTATGATTCTAATTAGCAGGGCCTATGTCTTTCAAAATCAACTTCCGTATGTGAAAGACTAAAACCTGTTTAGTTTTTAAAGTTATGCTTGAGTGAGAATGCAGGGTTTCCGAGATCCATTTTATCTGACTGTGTCTTTACATGTCTTTGAGATTAAAGCCAGTCTTGTTCTGGTCTGGATTATTAACACCAGTTTGTCAGCTAGTTGGATCCACACCTGCAAAAAAAAAAAATCAGTCTGTGTGCTGTTGGAAAACATGATGTTCCTCAATTTTCAAAGTGAAAATGGTTCTTTTAGGCTTATCTGTGATATTTATAGCTCACTTTTTTACTCCACAGAACACACGTGCCTAATAAGGTGTGTGTGTGAGGCAGGGGAGATGACTAAGAGTGGAACAAGTCAGTGGCAAACCAGATCTCACCATTTTTAATGTTAATTTCCAAAGGTGTTGGAATCTGTTCACACTGGAAGAATTTTTGTGATTTTTATTGTTATTACATTACATTTTATTATATGAGTCTATCACAAGGTGATCCTTGATAGAGTGAGGCTGGTAAGAGGGCAATAGAGTGCCTGTAGCCAACAGGCACAGTGAGAGTTAGATAGATATAATTTCAGGTCCAAACCTGAAAGCAGGCTATACATGGAGTGGAACCTTCCAGACAGTCTCATATTCCGGGAGAAAGAAGTGGTGCAAAAATTCACGGTACCTGAAAACAAGTCCAAACACGGAACTCTCAGTCCCAGCAAATAGTCCCCTGGCATCCAGCGGCAAGAAAAACTAATGGGATTTTAATTTTTGGATACACTGTGTCCAATTCTGGGCACCACAATTCAAGAGAGTTATTGACAAGCTGGAATGTGTCCAGAGGAGGGCGACTAAAATATCAAGGGTCTGGAGAACAAGCCCTATGAGGAGTGGCTTAAGGAGCTGGGCATGTTTAGCCTGAAGAAGAGAAGGCTGAGAGGAGATATGATAGCCATGTATAAATATGTGAGAGGAAGCCACAGGGAGGGGGGAGCAAGCTTGTTTTCTGCTTCCCTGGAGACTAGGACACGAAACAATGGCTTCAAACTACAAGAAGGAGATTCCATCTGAACATGAGGAAGAACTTCCTGTTTTTTACATGGCAGTGTAAAAGAGGCCTGGAGCTGACTTTAAAGACAATTCAGAAAAGTCCTTCCTAAAGGTGCGGAATCCAACACTACTAATGCTCATCACAATAGGTGTGTTATTCATAATCTACCTGTGACGTTTCTAGTGACTGGTGATCCTCTGACACAACACATTCATGACAATTTATTGAAAAATAACCCACACATGAACTGGTGACATAACTTCATTTACCCCCTGCAAACATTTATAAGGTGTTTCCGCTTCTCTTTTCAGATGTCTTTTGCCTTTTTCCCATGTATATGTATATATGTAACTAGCTGTGCCCTGCCACGTGTTGCTGTGGCCTATAGTAAGAATTTTTGAAGTAGAGGTAGATATCTGGACTATTATGAAAGAGAGGTACCTACCTATTCCTTCCCCCTTTTCTTCCCCTTCCCCTTTCTCTCCTTTCTTCCTTCTCTACCTCTTTCTTTCATTCCTTCTTTCGCTCTTTGGTTTCATCCTTCCTTCTCTCTTTCCTTCCTTCCCTCCCCCTTTCTCTACTTCTTCCTTTGTCTCCTTTCTTCCCTCCCTGTTTCCTTCCTTCTTTCACTTTTTTATTTCCTTTTCTCCTTCCTTCTTTCTTTACTTCTTTCCTGCATTTCCCTCCATTTTTCTTTCCTTTCTACTTTCTCTTCTTCCTTCCTTCGGTACCTCTTGCTTTCCTTCCTTCTCTCCTTCCTTCCCTTTTTCCTTCCCTCCTTCCTTCTTTCCCTCCCTCCTTCTTTCTTCCTTTTTTGAATTTAAAGGTGTTTTGTGGGGTTTTTTTTTTTCAGTGATGGTCACTCCTTGGATTGTGAGGAATTTTGTTGCCAAACTTGGGGTTATTTGGCCCCGTAGTTTTTTTGTTTTTAAGCCCCTCATTATGCACAGAGCATTTATATATATATATAGATAATAATGTTTGTATGCGGAGGGCAGGCGGGCGGTGTATGTATGTATGTGGCAGCTTTCTGATTGGCTTCCACTTTCACAGACCACTGCAACCAGCACGGGTGACGGACCTGGACCAAACTTGGCACACATAACCCCCATGGCCTCCTTTATGTCCTGGTGAGGTTTGGGGGAGGACGGACAAAGGATGATCAAGAACAAACTTGAGACACAAAGCCCCCATAACCCACTCTACATCCTGGTGCTGTTTGGAGGAGGACAAACCATGGATGATGGGGGTCGCAGTACCTTCACTATCTTCCTGAGACCACTACAAGCCACATAATAACCAATAAAGACCAACCTTGGCACACAATGCTTTTCTCAAATAACCCAGGCAGCACCAGGTCACCAAGCTAATTTCAAATAAAGACTGATCTAGTTCCAATTAGGTTCAACTGTAATTAACACAATTGTATACTGCTTCCATTCTCATTCTTGGAGAGAGAATACCATACAGACTGTAGCCTTTATTTAATTGGCATTAACAGTGCACAGATGTCCTGCATATGTGTGAAACCTCTTATGTTTACCTATCCATGTCATTTGATATATGTTAGAACTTTTTCATCTTCAAAGTTCTTACAAGATTTCCTGGGGCCTCCATAAAACCCTTTGAGTTGGTGGGGGTAACAGATGATCTACTGATTTTGCTAGAGTAAATCAAATTCAGGCCTGGTCCACAACATGGTAAACCTAGACCTTACCTAAAACTCTAATAATTGTGCTTTTGGTGTTGAGGGAGACTGACAAAAATAAAAAAGGGAATTAAAACAAAATACATAATATTGTAATGAATTGGTCATTTTTGCAACAGTGTCCTGTTGTTTTAAGTCAAAAAGAGAATCATAGGTAGATTATTCCTCTTCATCCTGGAAAGAAGTGACAAGTGGAGTGCCACAGGGTTCCGTCCTGGGCCCGGTCCTGTTCAACATCTTTATTAATGACTTAGATAAAGGGTTAGAAGGCAATGATGGATTTGGACCAAATTTGACAAAGATACTCAATATGCCCAAATGTGAACACTGGTGGAGTTTGGGGAAATAGACCTTGACATTTGGAAGTTGTGGTTGCTGAGATTTCTAGTTCACCTACAATCAAAGAACCTTCAATACCGCACCAATGATAGAATTGGGTGAAACTTCCCACATAGAACACCCATGACCAACAGAAAATATTGTGCTTTCTGATGGTCTTTGGTGACCCCTCTGACACCCCCTCGTGACCCTTCCCCCAGGGGTCCCGACCCCCAGGTTGAGAAACACTACTATAGAGTAAGATCATGTACATGTCTACTTACTGGCTGATCTACTGAGTCAAATGGGGCTTATTTCCAAGGAAATATGCCAAGATTGTAGCCATAAAAACAGTGTTCTGTTTTATAACCCCACATTTATGATTCAATCATTAAATTACATTATTAGATACTTAGGATTATGTTGTGGCAGCCAAAAGCTCCTTGATGATATCTATATTTGGTCCTGCCAGTACAAAGAATAGGTAGCTGGTAACCTTGAAACTACTGTGGCCAATATCACTTGCTACCGGTAGAATATTTGGAGAAGCAAAAAGAAATCTTGATTGATTCATTATTCCTGTGTCAGTGGGAAATTCTGCACCTTCCCGACCCTTTGACTAAATGCTAGTATTTTACCCAATTACAAGACATCTTTCCATTTTCTCCAATTTCAGTTCCATCACCTTAATGCTGTCGAGATTGAAAAGCAAATACAGTTTTGAGTCATCTGTGTTTTTCCTAGGGTGTTCCAAAATGCAGCAGATTTTAAGAGATACTAAGGCATAGCTAATGCACAACGTTTGCAATCATGCTGTGGGCAAAGCAGCTTCTTTCTAACATATAAAGCATTTCTGTGACTTTAGAAAGAAGACACTAAGTTATTCAATCATACTTCTCAGTACATTTTTTAAGATGCTCATCATTACAC